TCGCTGTCCCCTTTTTTACAGATGAAAGAACAGGCTTCGTGGGGTTGCTTGACTTGCGTGGTTCTTAAGCAGCAGAGTTAAAATTCACACCCAAACTCTTACCCAGTGTTTACACTGCTTCCTCTGTAGGTCCCACATGCGCATGTGGGGCTCAGATAAGTACAAGGAGGCCAGTTTCTGGACAAAGGTAGTGTTTAACTTCCTCCATTGTGGGGGCATGAGTGAGGCCCAACTCCCGGCCTTTCACACCTGGCAGGTCAGCTGTGATGGATAGACAGATAAGCATGTTGAAAAGCTAACGGCCTGTGGTCTCATTTCTTTCTCTCTCATTTCTGGGATGCTTAGTTTCTGGCTCAGGCACAACAGTGGAGAATTTATAGATGAAGATATCTCGTGGCTCTCACTTCTACTGCCAAGGGGTAGGAGATGGAGAAGGCTGGCAGACGGCCCGTCTGGGCGGTGGCAGAACAGGAGGTGTTCAGACCCAAGCTGACACGCCTGAGCACCTTTCGGAGGCATTTTCCCAAATCCCACCTTTGGTGATACTCCTACAGAATCGGTCGTTTCTTTGGGAGGTTTGAGTCTAAGTGAAATCACTGTGTTATCAAATATCACTGCTATCTGACAGTTCTTTCAATGTCCATATTGCTTCTGAGCGCAGCGGAAAAGGAAGGAGGCAAGGAAGGGAAAGGTCATGCTAATCTCGGTTGTTGCATTTGGTGCCAGGTCCAACAGAGACCAAGGACATTTAAGCCCAAACGACCTTGGTAACTTGATCTCCCACATTCCATGTATTCCAGCCAAGGAAATAAACACTGGTGTGTCATGTTAGAGAGATGCTTAACACTTTTATGTTCACAAAGTGCCTTCATGTTATCTGAGCGTCATCACGCTCTGGATAGGTGAGGAAACTGAGCTTCAGGGAGGGTAAGCCACCTGTCCCAGTTTCTCCACTTCTATTTGGCGCATCCACCACGGGGGCCTGGATCTTGGGGACGCCTCAGAGTTCAGCAAGGGCTTCAGTGTTCCAGCCTCAACTCTGCCACTAACTGGCTTTGTGGTCTTCCCCAGGCCTCACTTTCCAGCACTTTAAATGGACATAATCATAGTACCTGTCCCAGCAGGTTCTTGTGAGGGTAGAAGGACGTCATATGTAAGAAGAACTCTGCAGAGTACCTGGCACAGGAAATGGTAGCTGTTAGTATTAGTTCCATTTTCCATCCATTAGGAATGAATCTGGCTACAATTAATAGAATAGTAAAGCGATTTTGGCTTAAACAAATGAGGGTTCTTTTTCTCAGACAATAAAAAGCTTGAAGGCAGTCAGTCTCGGGCTGGCCAGCAGCCGAATGATACCATTAAAGACTATTTACGTTATTTCTTTGGTTGATTCTAGTCTCCATAGCATATTGACTTACTGCCTCCAGGTTGCAAGGTGGCTGCTGTACCTCCATCTTCCAGTCATATTTCCCTCTTTTGTAAGGAAAGCAAAAGCTTTCCAAGAACCCCACTTCAACCACAGTAGACATCTGCTTTTGTCTCACTGACCTGGACCATGTCTTCTGACTATTCATAGCTGCCAGGACACTTGGAAAGTGAGCATTTAACTTTTCAGATTTAATTGTATAAGAGGCAGGAGAGAAGGTGGATGAGAATGGGATTGAGCCAAACTATATTTGCCACAGCTCTTCCTGCCTCTCACAGTGTCGTTTGAAAAACATACTGCAGGGGCACCTGGGTGGCTCAGTCGGTTGAGCCGCCAACTCTGGATTTCGGCTTAAGTCATGATCTCGCAGTTCGTGAGATCAAGCCCTGAGTTGGGCTCTGCACCGACAACACGAAGCCTGCTTGGGATTCTCTCTCTTCCTCTTTCTCTGCCCTTCCCTCCCTCTCTCTCTCTCTCTCTCTCTCTCTCTCTCTCTCTCTAAATACGTAACTAAACATTAAAGAAAATTAAAATAAAGAAAAACATACTTCATTGGTCCTCAGGTGTAGAGGGCTTCGTTAATGCTAGTCATGTGTTCTCAGCACATGAACAGCAAACTCCCTTTCTACACAGATTCCCTTTTATTCTCACAAAATGTGTACTGCTTCACGTGCGTCTATTTTTTCTTAACTTTCTAACTGAAATGTAACATGCATGAAGCACAAAGATACTTCTAGATGGCTCAGTATATTTTTACCTATGTATCCTTGTGAAAGTACCACTGAGATCAATATATAGAATGTTCCCAGCATCTCAGAGACCCTCCTCTTTTTCCCTGCTCTGTCAATACTTGCTCCCAAGGGTAACCATTGTTCTGATCTCCATTCTCACAGGTCTGTTTTGCCTGTTCTTTGACTACAATTATTTAAATGCAATCATACATTGGCATGTGCTCTTTTTAGGTGTGCCTCCTGTCACTCACCCAGGAGAGTCATCTGTTTTTGCATGGAATGGTAGTTCCTTTGTTTCCTGCTTTCTCTCTGTGCTTTGTCTCTCTGCACAGACCTGGGGGTAAATGGCATCATGAGAACCGAAGTAGGACAGCAGAGCAAGTCACCTTCTTCCCGCTCATGGAGTATCTTTTCCTTGTAAAAACCACTCCCTTTGATTTCTCACAAAGCTTGCCTGCACACTGCTCTCTGCCACAACGTCTACTTTAAAAGGAACCTCTTGGGGACCTGTACGTTTGCCTTGGATGCTGTGAGCATAAAAGAATTTTCTTGAACACCTCTTCATTTGGAGAAGGTGGAAGAACAAAGTAAGAGAGGGACGCTTTCTGGAAAGACATTTTTAGGCAAAGGAAAAAAGAAGCACCAACTAAAGGCATCATCAGGGGCGCCTGGGTGGCTCAGTCAGTTGAGCGTCCGACTTTGGCTCAGGTCATGATCTCACGGTCTGTGGGTTCGAGCCCCGCGTCGGGCTGTGTGCTGACAGCTCAGAGCCTGGAACCTGCTTCAGATTCTGTGTCTCCCTCTCTCTCTGCCCCTCCCCTGCTCTCTCTCTCTCTCTCTCTCTCTCAAAAATAAATAAACTTTAAAAATAAAATAAAGTAAAATAAAATAAAATAAAATAAAATAAAATAAAATAAAATAAAATGAAGGTGTCGTCAGGAACTTGAGCTAGAAGGCAACCTTCAGAGCAGACATTTACATTGGTCTTCTGTGTCCCTCCCCTTCTGATAGTCTCAGTTTAAAGTTTAAGGCCTAAGACACTCACAGCCAAGTCTGCCTCTCTTGGGGCTGGGAAAGCTGGTTTGAATTCAAGCCGACTCTGAGAAGCCTTCCTCCTGCCAAGGCTGTGGGTGGTGGGCTTTCCCTATCAAAGCCAGTGCGGCTTTCTTTATAAAAACGCTCAATCCCAGGACAAACTTGAGAGCAGGAATAAAGCCGATGCGTTTCAATGGAGTCTTAAATGAAGATGAAAGAGACTAGTTATAGCCGCAAGTATGGTCATGTATGTAAGTCAGGGATCAAGCACAAAAATGGAAACTATGCAGTTAGCTCCATCGGCCAGTTGTTGTCTCTCCTTTAGGAATCTGCTGGTCCCGTGCCTTGTGTCTGCCGGGATAATGTACTAGAATATTCAGCAGAGACTTAATCAGAGGTTCTGGCTTGGTAGCTTGAACACACTGCAAAGGTACTGACTGGCAAGCTGGGCCATCCTCAGATACTTCCATTTGGGTACAGCGTCCTTACACCCTTGTGTCTGTGAGCATATGGATTGCATGGGTGAGCCACTGAAATCCATTGCCTCTAATATCAGATGATCAACCTTGAATTTAGCAGTATTTGTTGCTTTCAAATATTTTATTAAGTTGATTAATTTTTGTAAATTTTTTTTTTTTGTAAATTTTTGTAAATTTTGCATCCCTGGCCCTTGCTAGGGGCTTTGCATGTATTTTCTCAATTATTCTCCATAGGACCTGGGGAGTTAGGTAGGATTAGTCCTGGTTTGCAGATGAGTAAATTGAAGACAAGAGAATTTAAGTAATCTGCCAGTAATTAACAAGTAGTAAGAAGTGGGGTTGATATTCGACACCAGGTCTCTCAGATTAAAGGCCATGGACCTTGAAACACCACACTACTTTTGAAAAATAAGCGCCCCCCTGTCTGATATGTCAGCCCTCTGGTCAGCCCTTCCCTCCCCTCACCCCAAATCATGCTCTTCAGTGTGTCCAATAAGTGACTGGTTTTAGAACAGCTGAAGGCTGCAAATACCTTGCCACTTATTTTGAGTTTAGCTAGTTGTTGAAGCTTCTTTGTTATGCACTTATATTTTTAAAGGGATTTTTAAAACATACTTGACACTATAGAGCAAAATGAAAAGCACCCTGATAGATAATAAGCAGACATTGGTTTCAATGCTGATATCACCACAAGTCGAAACAAGCTGGGAGACTGGGGATGCAGACTTAATTTTGGTGTGCCTCAGTTTCCCTCATTTGTGAAGCAAGAAGGTTAACAGGTAGGATGTTAATGTCTTCCAGTTCTAAAAACGTGGGCTTCTACAACTTCTGTTTTTGTTTTTGAGATTGTAAAATGGCCTCAGAGTACAAACATTTCTTAAGCCTTGAACTACTTAAATGCAAATTAAGAGAAGTGGATAACATTGGGGCTTTCAGAATTTTTTGAAAATGATATTAATTCTTTATCCTTCCAAGTAAAGCTGCATTTTCCATTGCATTTCCCAGTTCATCACTCCCACTGAAAGAAAAGCCCATCGGTTCTTAAATAATTCATATTGGAGCTCAGATTCCTTGAGGGTCTGGCAAGCTTTAATCTTGGATAAGATGATGTAAAATATTGCCAATAGCCAACCTCAGGTTGCCAACCCAAATATAAATCCCTCCTTGTTTAGTACATGAATTTATAATATAAACTGTTTTAAATTATACCTGGTACAATTGAACAGAACTCAGACACTGTTGAGCAACTTTGAAAATAAGAAATAAGATGATGTTACGGTTTAATTAGTTCAGAATGTGCATACTTAAAATTTTTCTGCATCATTTTAGACCCAATAAAGAGAAGACTGGCCATGTGAGTGACTCAGGATCATCTGTCGTCAAACATGGGCTCAATCCTGAGAAGGTCTTCATGCAGGTTCATTATTTAAAGGTACGTGTAGCTAGTGGCAGAGGCCAGTTGTTATGGGGCAGCACTTTTTAGGTTATACATGTAAACAGGGAAGACTAATCACATGGCTGGTGCCAAACAAAAACATTATCCACATTGTAATGTCACTTGACTGGGGAGATATCTTGATTGTCGCATAATTAAAACATGTCATACCCCCCAAATGAGACATGAATCAAATTCCCTACCCTGCACTTCCCTTCTCTCTGCTTCCTGTCACTTTTGAAGAACATAATCTTGAAATTGCTGTTAGGTTCCAAGTAGAAGACAGGAGTAATAAGGAAGTATTTTACATTGCAAAGGCTTTTCCTCATAGCTGAGGGTGGCAGGAGCTGGGCCCCTCTTCACTTTTGGTCCATGATGGACATCAGGCTTCATGTAAACAAAGGAAAAACAAGATGGTGATACCATTAACCGAAGAGTTGCAAGCAAAGTAGGCCTTCCTTAATTTCCAGGACCCGCCTTACTGGTAAGGGTATGGAAGGCAGCCCAGGACAGGTCAGAAAGAACACTTTACATGTGCATAAAGCACTGGTGGGTGAGTTAGAGTTGGCTGTGTTTTCTCACAAACCCATGACAGGCATCTTTTTTTTTTTCCCCCTCCTTTCTTCTAGGGCTATTTCCTTCTCCGGTTCCTTGCCCAAAGACTTGGAGATGACACCTATTTTGCATTTTTAAGAAAATTTGTGCACACCTTTCATGGGCAGCTGATTCTTTCTCAGGTAATTTATGAGTCATCATGAGTCCATGATATATAATTGGAGGGAGTGTGGTATGTAGGGACTAGGTTATGTGAGTATTAAAAAGTAGGGGAAAGATTTACGATTTAATGCAGTAAGAAAAATAGGAAGTTAACGAAGTGGACACAGGGCAGTGTTGTTTCAGGGAGGCTGACCTCCCTATAGCTTTGGGACAGGCTGTAACCCAAAGCTGTTCCTGTGCACAGTGGTGTGGATAGTTGCACCTTAAGTGACCCTAAAAACAGAAACAGCGCAGTCCCTCCCTTCTCTCTACCTGGAATGATCTTTGCAAGCAAAGGTGCACCCACCGTGTTATTCTTTCCCCTTTGCCCTTAATCATAACCTTCGTTGTCATTCCCATTATTTATAATTATATTTTCATTTGTGGGTCCATTTGCTTTTTTCTGTCTCCTCCACTCTGCGTATAAGTTCAACAAGGCCAGACCATGCTCTTTACGTTACCAGTACCTAATATACAGTTGGTACAGTACATGTGCCATATATATTTGATAAACAAATAGATTAATAACAAGATACACTGACATAGTCAGATAGCCTGGCCACAAAACTATCAGAGAAAGACACTGTCAGCTTATACTGGCATGAGGCCGGGCTGCACATAGCAAGGAAGTTAACAAAGAGAGAGAGGCTCTGAAAACAGCACTCATAACTGATACAGAATAGAAGATGCAGCCTCAGCACAGATTAGTCTGATGGGTATTTTTGCTATTTGACAGTGGTGCTCATACACAGTCTTGAAGTCACATTGCCCACAGTGTTAGATGTAACAGATGTGCATGCACAGTCTAAACACTTGTGGAGGGAATAGCATGATGTGACAAGACTGGATGGCTGTTCCTTGCTTCTACGTTCTTTTTTTTCTTTTGGTTGCGGGGGAAAGGAAGGTGTTCCTAAGCATATATTTGGAAAGACATCTCGAAAAGGGGCTCAGAAGTCTTATATGCTTGGTTGACTGATTAGCCCAAACTCCTACTGCTTAAAACCACTTCTCACCAAGATTCTGCATTGTTAAATGAGTGCCTCACATTTACCGTGACTTCGGAGGTTCCGATTTCAACTTCTCGTGAAATACTTAGTGCCCCCCTCCACCAAATTGCTCGGTTTTTCTGTTGTTTATCTTCTGTGAACAACAGCTTTATTGTTTTCACGTAACAGCTTTATTGAGATATAATTCACATACCATAAATTTCACCCTTTTAAAGTGTACAAGTTGGTGGTTTTAGTATATTCACAAGATCATGCAACCATCACCACGCTGAAATTTCAGAACATTTTCATCACCCCCAAAAGAAGCCTCCAATCCATTAGCAGCCACCGCCCCGTTTCCATCTCCCCCCAGCGCTAGGCAACCACTAACCTACTTTCTGTCTCCATGGATTTGCCTGTTCTGGGCCTTCCGTGAAAATGGAGTCATATCATATGTGGCCTTTTGCGCTGGATTCTTTCATGTAGTACAGTGTGTTCAAGGTTCATGTTGTAGCACGTAGCAGTACTTCATCTTTCTTTTTTAATTTTAGTTTTTACCCTTTAAACTTGGGTAAATGTACATAACAACATTTACCATTGGAACCATTTTGAAATGTGTAGTTGGGTGCATTAAGTACATCCGCATTGTTGTACAGCTGTCACCGCCATCCATCTCTAGAATGTTTTGATCTTCCCAGATTGAAACTTGTATCCATTAAACAGTAACTCCACATTCTTTTCTTCCCCCAGCCCCTGGCCACTATCATTCTACTTTCCATCTCTATGAGTTTGACTACTCATGAGTTTGAATCGTACGATACTTATTCTTTTATGTCTGACTTATTTCACTCAGCATAATGTCTTCAAGGTCTATCCATGTTGGAGCACATGTCAGAATTTCCCTCCTTTTTATGACTCAATATTCCATTGTATGTATCTAACCACATTTTGTTCTTCCATCCATCTGTTGATGGATGCTTGGGCTATTTACACCTTCTGGTTCTTGTCAATAATGCTGCTTTGAACATTAGTATACAAATATCTGTTTGACTCCCTGCCTTCTTATCTTTTAATTGTATTTGAGGAATTGCCATACTGTTTTCCACAGCAGCTGTATCATTTTACATTCTTACCGGCAGTACACAAGGGTTCCTATTTCTTCACATCCTTACCAACACTTGTTCTGTTTTGTTTTGTTTTGTTTTGTTTTGTTTTGTTTTGTTT